TATCGCGACAGGCCTATGCACACAATAAAACAGGAAACATGTGTTTGACTTTCATTAGTGAATGAAACTTTGTGCCCTTTATAGTCTGTGTCCAATATTGTGTATTTGTATATATTGTATATATATCCTACATGCTAAGGTCCCGCTACTGACACGATAGCAGTCATTTAGTATATGTGTAATTAAACCCATGATATCAAAATCTCACTCCAGCCAGGTACCCAAAGTTGGCAACCCTGTTGAACGTCAGTGACAGCAGGCTGAGATCCTCACCGCTGATTGGCTACCGCAAGATCGCGTCACGCGAATATGACGCTCGAGTTGAAAGAATTGAACTTGAGCGTTTGTCGCGGCCCCCTTAAGTCGCCTCAATCGCGCCGCGGAATTCGCGTCCAATTTCTGATATTTTATATGGAGTGCTTTATTAAATGCAATAATTTGAATTAGTCCCATCAATATAAAACATTTAATAACCTCAGCTTCAATCAGTCCCATTTGTATTAGTGTTTTGGATAAGGACTCACCTCTGAAGGTTGGGTCATCTCCACCTCCTCGCTGGTCTTTCCCAGCGCAGCAGCCAGGGCCGGATCCAGCTCCCATCGACCAGACGCCCTCTGGAGGGAGACCAGCTGCAGCAGAGGGTCTCTGCGAGGCAGCTCAGGCTTTGCCTCTGGAGGCTCATCATACATAACTGAAATATAAACCAAATATATAATAACTACTGAATAAACATATTTTTACCCTATGTGATGAATGAGTTTTGATATAGTACGAGGCAGATCAGACCATTTGTGCATCTAACTCCCACCAGTGTTTTTTCAGATTTATATCCATGCACTGGGTAAAATAAACAAAATGGTTGCATATTTATGTCTTTTTTGCATTAACAGCCAGATGTTTTTGTATTTACGGACTGATATTTTGTATCTATTTCAAAACCTTAACCAAAATCAGTATGGGTTGAGAGCCACTCATGGCTGAATCATTTGCTATCCCCAAAGTTTTTATGTAACACTTAGTTTAATCATTGCTCTCGATCATGAATCTTGGCTGCCTCTGGTTCTGCTTGACACCCAATTTATTAATTATTTTGGTAGCATGTGGAAGCTGTTTGACATCGTTCTAGATACATCTTTTCAATATATTCATAAAATCATATTGTGAAATGACTTGTCTATGTTGTAATTGTTAATGTTCCTGAACTGCACACATAAAACATCACATTTTATGAGTCTGTATGAAAATTAACCGATACAGTGTGGATCCAACTGAAACAAATCAGATACCTTCTTGTTCGAAATCGTCTGCCATTTGATATCCATCAGATTCTGTCTCAGAAGAAATACATAGTTACAATAGCAAAAGCATACCAACATATTTATTACATATTTTGGTAACATTTGGAAGCTGTTTGACATCCTTCTAGATATATCTTTTCAATATATTCATAAAATAAAATTGTGATACGAATTGTTTATGTTGTAATTGGTAATGTTACTGAACTGCACACATAAAACATCACATTTTATGAGTCTGTATACAAAGAACCAATACAGTGTGGATACAACTGAAACAAATCAGATACCTTCTTCTAAATTGTCTGCCATTAGAAGTCCGTCAATCGCAATACCTGTTTCAGAAGAAATACATAGTTACAATAGCAAAAGCATGCCAAAATCTGGCGACGGCATGTCCCGTAGATGTCTTCACGGCTGGACTGTTAGCACACATGTGAAGTTTGAGCACTTTTTCAAAACGTGAAGCATGTCAAGGAAGTTGAGTATCTGAAGTGTAATTTTTGTGTACTTTCGGGTTAATAATGTGGCCTTTTTGGCAGTTTAACTAAAAGGTGTGCGGCTGCTGCTGTGAGGAAATATCAGCCTGAAATTACAATGGGTTTTAATGGAGACATGTTGAACGTTTTTGTCACTTCATGCCCTCAAGAGGCATTTTGTTTAATTATTTTTGCTTAATTATTTGTCATTTTTCAAGCTACGAGATGTTTTCCTACGTTTGTCATGAAAAATTATGTCTCAGGAATGTAGGGTTTGGGAATTATGGCAGTTTTAAAAAAGAAATATGAAGGCAAATTTCAAGATTTCCTACCCTCTAGCTGTGACATCACGTACTCTGCCTTAACGAGCTGCGCAATGTTAAAGTTAAAATGTTAAAAATGGGATGAATTATGGGATGTATCTCTGGAATTATGAAAATTATGAATGATAAAAGTAATAGCGCTCGATTCCCGACCGAGCTGAACGTTATGATGTTTGAACGGAGTTTCTGCGATGTTGAATGTGGGAGGAGAAGACGGACAAAATAACTGTAAATAATTAACTTACAACTAATAACACTTCCCTGTAGGGCTGTGCGATTATGGCAAAAATCCTAATCACGATTATGTTGGTCAATAATTGATATCACGATTATTAAAAACGATTATCCATTTACTTTGAAAACATCCATATATTGAAAAAAAAATGTGAACAGTATGTTTTTAACAGTTGATTACCCTGAACTTTAAGTATAATTCAACAGAAAAAACAATATTTTTAATTAAAATAATAATCGTTTTATTTCGATTACATTGTTTTCGTAATCGTTGCAAGCCAAAATCGTAATCGAGATTAAAATACGATTAATTGCACAGCCCTACTTCCCTGCATCTTAACTTGTTTCGGAAAAATACACTCTCTGGGTATTTCACATTAAAGCTTCATTTCAAAAAGCAATCCCCCCAGAAAAATGTGTTATAGTTTTGACATCGATACACATTTTGATTCAACTCCCATTCAGCTTTTTACTTACCTCCAGCCGCAGAACAATGGTACATCCTCATCATGCACGGCGTAGGACAGCCCATCATCACTTTAAGATTTAAAAAAGTAAAGAAAATTAAAAAGGGTATACTGTAGCTGTCAAAACATGAGACTTTTTTTCGAATCACATGAAACTAAGGCTCCGGCTCCACGAGGACAAATACGGCAAAACGCATCGGAGTAACGCAAATGCAACCGCAAAAAACCTTCCGTCCCCACGCAATATACACCGGATTGTGTCAAGCTCCACGAGACGGCTCCGTTTACATCCAAACGCTGGAAAAGCTGCAGTACATATGCCGAACCTGTACGTGGCGCTGTAACTTCCTCCACAAAAGCAGCAACTTCCTCCACAAAAGCAGCGAAGAAGAATGGTTGTCATGGCTGCACTTCTGTGTATTCTCCGCGGTGGGGGCCGACAGAACCGGGCAGAGTTTTTCGCCGGTCAGCGTGTGTTAAAGTTTAAATCTTCCGGACAAAATTATAAAAGTGCCGGTCAAAGGTCTTCATTGTTATTTATTGAGCTTTAAAACAAATGAATAACGACGATATAATGATATATAATCATCAAATACATCTCTTTTTCCTCTCTTCTGACAGCGTCAGTGTCTGTCTCATGCAGCAGCTGATCCTGTAATGAGTGACCCGACAGTAAAAATGAACATATTTATAACTAGTTTAGGTAGTTTGAGAGGTAATTAAAATAGCTAAGGGTGATGATCTGACTTGAAGTGTGTGTTTTGCTCCCGCTGCATCACAGCGGCAGGAGCTGCGTGTCTCCGTCCTGTCAGATTAGACTTCACTCGCGTTTATGTCCATATCGAGATAAAGATAAATAATCTGAATTCAAGGAGGAGCTCCTGTAGATGTTGCACAAAGAACTGTAGCATGGTCAGTAGCGACTGGAGCACGATAGCAACCCCGCGGGGGAGAGGCAGGGAGAGGCGGGGCTATGAAAACGAATGACCGTATAGGCGACTCCACGGCCCCGTTGGACCCCCCAGAGCGCTCAGTTCCCAGATCTATCCACCTTTGGACCCGTTGTCGTTTGCGGGGTCTGTTTCTACGTTTCCCTTACGGCGTCGTGGAGCTTAGAGGGCTATACGCATGAGAAATATGCGGATTCAACCAGTTTCCGTCCTCGTGGAGCCGGGGCCTAAATTACTAGTTTCTGAGCTTATTAACATTACTCACAAAATATTTTTTAATAGTACTTAAAGGTCTCCTATTATACTATTTTCAGGCATATATTATAGGTCTCAGATATATAAAAAACATGTCTATGATGTGTTTTGCTCAAAATACCAAACAGATCATGCATTTTAGACATCCCTCATATCCCTCTGTTTCAGCCCTGTTAGAGAACTGCTGATTCTGGGTCCGTAGCTGCTGGCCCCGCCCCCTTTGGAGCACACAGGCACACTGTGAGCTGCAGAGAGAAGAGAAGGCTGATAACTCAGCAGATTCTCAGCTAAATTCTGCCTTGATTAAACGCCATATCATGTTCCAAACCACATCATAGATTATTTATGAAACAGTATGGAGCTCAAATGCTTTTTCTCTTGCGGGTTGGGGCGGAACGTTGCCAGGAGTTCAACATAAAGCCAGCTCACATTTTTGTAAAGTCGTCATGACCACAGAAAATGTGGATCAGCTCCGTTGTACCCCCGTTTTTAGAGATGTAGGTAAGGAGGAAAAGAGAGAGGGTAGTATTTTCTGACACTTTGTGAGTCTCCTTACACACCGGGGACACATTTGTAAAAAGGTGCATTTTGCTTAATTGGTGACCATTAAGATACTCAAGTCTTTTAAAGGTCACCTAGTATGCAAAATCCACTTTTTTATGTCTTTTATACATAAATACGTATATTTATATCAGAATTAAGAGATTCTGAAAGTTGGGGGGTGGAAGCTCATTTGCATTTAAAACTACAAACACAGAATCAGCTATTTTGAAACAGGGCTGAAACAGAGGGTTATATGGCATGCTACAATGCATGATTTGTTTGGTATTTCGAGCCGAACACTTTGTATATATCTGAGACCAATAATATATTGTTGAAAAATAGTATAATAGGGGACCTTCAAAGATAACAAAGGTTTAAAAAGTTAATATTTTTTACGTACAAACTTATAGGCATGAAAATGAAGATGGTATTTATTTTTCTTTGAAACACTTACTGGGTGTTGGAACATTTCGGCGCACCAGGGGTCCTTGAATCGTCTCTCCACTGCCTTTGTTGACAGCAATGAAGGCAGTGAAGGCGCTGCTCACTCCTGATTGGACGCTGAGCTCCACCACCTTCTTCTTCTTCACTCCTTCATCTGGCTCTCCTCCTTCTACTACCTCTTCGTCTTCCACCATCTCCAGGGAGCGAATCAGAGTCCGAGCAGCCAACCTGTGCACCGTTAATCTGCGGTAAGGAGAGAGTAGACACAAGTGGATTTAATTGTTTTCATAAGGTGAACATTAGAAGCAAAATAAACTTCCGCATTCTAACGTGATCATGTTTCCCATGTTCACTAGCTTAGTTTAGCGTGTTAGCAAGCTAATTGCTAATTAGCACATTATTTGGACTAAACATCTCTTTTAGGTTACGTTTTAAAGTCCATATTTCATATAAAAGCCGATGCAGGTGATTGCAAAACGTGAATGTGCTGTCTAAAAATGTAGCTTAAGCACATACATTGTAACAACCCTTGTTACCACTTGACTATATACAAATGAAATTAACTCTGTATTGTTAAGTGCTTATCTGATTTAAAGTACTTCTGCAGTCTGAACAAAGCCTGTTTTACCCAGAGTCCTCTGCAGGTTTGAGGTTGAAGTGGAGCTTGTTCTGAGAGGGATGGCCTGCCAGGCTGTACTTCACCGTCACAGAGCCCTCTGCTGCCTTTGGACTCTGAGAGAGCATCACAGGCACAAATGTATAATAATAGCTACAGATATGTTTTTGAACCCTGACAAATCTAAAAGTGAAGTATTTCAGTCTGAGATTTGAGTGTTTCTCCTACCTGTCCAGTGAGCTGAGCATAAATCAGTGACCTTTGACCCTGGAAAAGTGTTGTGATTGGTGGTGAGAGAACAGAGACAGAGACTCCCTTTGGCAAATCCCACTTCACTGAGATATCCACCACAGCTGGTTGTAGAGCAAAACGCAGCGACTGCATCACCTGAGCGGTAAACAGCGTTTTACAAAAAGTTGGCAAAGGCAATGGGTGTTTCACTTAATGCATATGAATTTTCAATTTTTCCTTAAAATTGATACAATAACTGTGAAGTCTTACTTTGGGTTGCATCCTGTCAATGCCTGTGATGAACTGAGCGTGACCTCCTCCTTCTTTGGCCAACCCATTGATAAGAGCGGAGCTGGCCCCTTCCCCAATCCCGAAAGAGAAACACCTACAATACAGTAATTTTGTTTTCAACACACACAGAACTACGACATATTCTGGGAATTGTGTGGGTGTTTGTCGAGTTATCACCTGTGGGAAGCTGAATTCTTCTTCACCAGATTGATTACTTCTTTGGTGTTCCCCACTTCTCCGTCAGTGAAGACAAATAGCTAGGGAGGAGAGTTTACATTTAACTTCAAGAAACATAGCATCACACAATGTGCAGCATGTGTTGAGTCATCCTCATTATATGAGAGTTGTGTTAGATTGCTGTTTTAGTCACACACATGGTTTAAATGGAAAATTCTAAGGAACAAGGTGTGGCTGAATCAATGAGGTTACAGGCAAGATATATTTGCAAAAACAGTTTAAAGTGTGTGTGTGTCTCTGTGTGTGTGTGTGTGTGTGTGTGTGTGTGTGTGTGTGTGTGTGTGTGTGTGTGTGTGTGTGTGTGTGTGTGTGTGTGTGTGGTGTGTGTGTGTGTGTGTGTGTGTGTGTGTATTACTTGTCGAGGTTGATTGGGAATGCAGGCCTGGCTGTAAATGTGTTTGAGGGCCTCAAGGATCTCAGTTCCTCCCAAATCATCTTCCATGCCTTCAACCTTCTTCAGAGCCTCTTCCATGGTCTTCTCACTGTACTCCACACTCTTACTGCAATCAGAGTCACATTAATGGAAGAGGTCAGGTGGGGAATAGCTATGTATGTGGCACTAACAACTTCAACACTGTATTTCATATACCAGCTCACCCTACAATCTTTCCATAGACTAAAGCTTATCTACAATCTACTGAATATATTTTTCATTAAACAATCTATAGTTTTGCAGGATCACACAATATGACTGACCTTTTTGCCAATGCTAACATGAATTACAGAGCGATATCAAAAGATTAAGCACATTTTTGTGGACTGAGTGACATGCAGTAAGGAAGTGACTCACGGGAAGATGTGTTCATAGCTTGACCCGAAACTGTAGATGTTGAAATAGCAGCCCATTGGTATACTCTTCAAGAGGAGCAGCAGAGTATCCTGAAGAGAGGAAAGAATAGATGGTGAAGACTACTATTTCAGAGACAATGATTTTATGACTTAATTAAAACATAATGAATACCCTGGCACTCCCAATGCGAGTCTGTGAACCCTCGTTGTTGTTCATAGGGACACCCATGCTGCCAGATCGATCCAATAAGAACACAAACTCTCCACATGAGGCGAGTGAAGACATCACAGCCTGGGGGAACTCAGGGTACAGACTCAGCATCACCAGTGGATCCCCCATCAGAGTGCCTGAAACACAGGAGAGACAGAAGATGTAACCACTAATTTGGGTTTTTATTTTTTTATTACAACATATAACTGTGAGGCTGAAGATAGTGAACTAAAGTGCACTCACCAGGCTTGGCAGAGGTCTGTCCTGCCTCCACCACAGCTGTGGGCTGGTGGGCATCTTTGTAATAAATCAGAAGTTCAACATCTTTGTCAAACTTGTGTCCTGCAGCCAACTTAACCTGCAGGTCCAAAAACACACTAATAAATATAATGAGGTGACACTTCTTGGTCTTAGTAATTAAGAACAATCCCACACACGGCACATTTAAGCACTCTACCCACCGTGGCCTGGCTCTGCTCTGTGTTCAGATACTTCAGAGGGTCCATGGGACAGTTGGACTCTACTTTAGAGACCGGACGAGGAGAGGACACCCGGGCAGAGAAAGACAGACTGTAGGGCACCAGAGAGGCGGGAACAGAGGTCACCTGGACACCTTCACTACCTGTTAACAACACAACACAAGTTAGGAATATTGTGAGAAACAGTACAGTGAGAGAAATTCACGCAGTGTGAATCTGGGAGCTCTATTGTATAAACCCTACAGTACAAAAACATGTTGGCTGGTTTTCCTACCCTGTGGATGGTAGCGAGGGTTGAGCACAGCAGGCAGAACAAACCTCAGCCCTTCATCAGCCTGCACAGCCAGCTCAGTGACGTACTCCAGCCTGATGGAGGCGCTCTCTCCTGGAGGCAGACTGCCCACACTCAGAGAGAAAATATCTGGACTCTGATCACTCTCCTCCAACAGGAAGGCCTGCTGACCGGAGCTCAGAGCGTCATCGTACTCCTCACGAGCCTGGGGTACAGAGGACACTTTGAGCAACATTCACTGGGTTTACTGAGTTGTTAAGCTCCATTGTAGTGAGTGTTTCTCCAGCTCACCTTCTGTTTCTCCTTCACCTCAGCCACAATCTGTGTCTGTCCAATCGTAGCACTGAAATGACAGACAGCAGCATCTCCAGGCATAGGGAAGACAAACACAGCCTCCAGTGGTTTGTCCTCCTTGTTCTCATAGTTCAGAGTGGACACCACTGTAGCCACATGGTCCCTCACCTCCAGCTCCACCTCCACACTCTTCAGAGGAACTGACCGAGAAGGATACACAATGAAACAAATATGTTTTTCACTCCTGGTAATAGAGGAATTTGTATTTGTTATTTCCATGGCCCTGGATATATTATTATATATCAACATTTGTGAACATCAGGTATTCTTTCTTTAAAGCATTTTTTCTGGGTAACATCACACATTGTCATTTTATCCCCCCAGTTTTTGGATTTGGTAGATAGTTGTTCATGTCGTAGACCATAGAAATCACATGTATGAATTCTTATTTAGGATTATTTTTGAAAATGTGCCCAATGGCCTTTACAACTAGCATAAGCTTTAGAATTGTAATCTTACATGACTCATTATTATAGAAAAAAATACTTTTTTTATCAGTTTTGTTTAAACAACTGTACCTGGTTCCTGTTTAGAGGTTAGCAGACCACAGCAGTTCTCCATCTTAGCTGTAAAACAAAGAACACATACATATGAGATATTCTTCCTGCTGTAGAGATGAATGGTTATGATGTCCATCTACAAACATCTCACCAAATACATATTATAACAGTAGTAAACAGTAACACAGACACACTGGTGATTCAAGTGAAAGAGTATATTGCTGTAAAAAAGTGAAAGAAAACAGAATACTTCCATCAACAGTATGTGTCTGCAGACTTAGATCATTTTACAGCTTTAATATATCTGTCAGCATCATGTCATCCTTCTGTAGGTGACCCATAACCAATTCCATAGGATTTAGCATGCAATCATGACACAAAGGTTATCCGATATGAACTGATGATTATATCAAAAGTACAGATTACTTCTACAAACAAAATTACGAATTCAATTATTAAATCCCCCCATACATGCCAGATGACTTCAATGTGCGCATCTCTCTCAACAAATGTACTGTAATCCGCTATAAATAAATACATAATTAAGATCTCTTTTGCCTTGGCCTACTGCTCCACCCTTCCTGGTTCAGTCTGCGTCTTAAAAATGTGTATTTCAATTATTATTCTCTATTAGCATGCATTGCTATACAACTGTGTTATTTAGACAAACAGCTGCATGCTTAATGATTACTTAATAATATAATAAAAAAATAGGCTTATGTCACTCAAGAGTGTTTAAGTATAAACAAAATAGAAGCTGATGTCTGTAAAGCTCAGATGTAAATTCAAAACAACAATATCAACAGAAACACGCAGTAAAACGGGGTTTCAGTGCGTTCATTTTTATATTACCTCAGACGTAGTAGTTTAAACGGACATAAGAATTCCTACCTGTCAGGACCGGTCAGGACCAATGTTTCGTGTCCGGGGTTTACTGAATTTGCTTCAGGTAAATGTGGGGAGGCAACTTTTCAAAAGTAAAAGCTTACAAATACAAAAATGAAAGTCATGCTTTCCGGGTACGCTTGATTTCAGTACATGAGCGCTCCCGGTGGGTGGAGCTTGATGATGCAATATGAGAGCTGTTCAAACAGCTTTCTGTACAACTCCTATCATTCACAAATGTCTCTGAAGTACTACAATAACTTATAAATATGCTGACAAGTTGCAGATATTGTATTCTATTGTTTAATTTAAATCACAGCTTAGACAATCCTACTTCCTTGAATATCTTGTTATTGTTAATTTGTAAATTCAACATGTATTTTCTACTTTCTTGTTTACTTCTTTTAATTTTTATTGTACATTGCCATGTCTTTTTATGCTGCTGCAACACAAACATTTCCCAAATTGGGATCAATAAAGTTCTATCTTATCTTATCTTATCTTGTCTTAAAATGGATCAGACTGCTCTTCTGTTATTCTCTTCTGTTAATAAAGACTTCCACTGAAGTGTGAGATTATTTTTGAGGGACAATCATGTCCTGGACCTGGAAGCATTTTAGGATTTACAAACCCCAACATTTTTAGAGAGTTTGTTAAAAGACCACCAAGGTTACGGCAAGCAGATCTTTAAGTTGTTCAAGTTTTCTCCATTAGCACCAAATCGTCATATTCTTGATCTGACGGGAGACTCACAATTCATATTCTGTGGCCATAAATCTACGCTAAACGCTCAAGGTTTGATTTTTCGTGTTTATTGTCCAATGTGCACAAGGTTTCTCATAGTTTGTGCTGCACAAATAATAAAGCAGGTGTGGAGTCTTAATTTAAGCCATTAATGCTAAATGTGTTCAAATGTCAAAGCTCTGATACACATTTAAAAGACAAATAGTAATCTACCAGGGGGAAATAGAAAACATGAAAGTGCAGGATTTTATTGTTGCTGGGTAGGCTAGGTAGTAAAGGTTGTGGCAGAGGTGGGAGAAGTACTCAGGTCTAGTACTTGAGTAAAAACTAGTGTAGGGATACTCTGTTAGAAGCAAACGTTCAAAGAGTAAAGGTGCTCATTATTCAGATTGGACTATTTCAGAATAATATATTATATTTTTGATTATTATTGATGCATTAAAGTGTTTATCAAAGCAGGTAACGTTTCAGCTACTTTTAATTACGTTGTATACTGCAGGGTAGCTTGTGAATTTACTCCAGGTGTAACTAAAGTCTTGTGTTGATTATATTTCGCATTATTCATCCAAATCTGCCATGACAACCACTTTGGATCCAGTTTCCCCCCTTTTTATTTAGATGAGTTAATAACTACATATCTTTCTTCAGTGTGCAGTATTTTGGTTAAGATTCAGACAATATCATATATTTATTGTGGGGATTGTGTTTACTTTTAAAACATTTAAATTGGAATCTTTGAATTGGATTCAGCCGTGGTCACCATGGAAACAATCAGTGCATCTATCAAACCTCACCCGAGTAAAGACGTTAACCTGCGCAAGTTATTTAAACTACTTCCTCACAACGGTAAGAAATACAACATTTTTAATGCTGTGTGACGGTCTCTGCTTTACAGGAGCAACTTCGTCTGACTTGTAGTATTTTGTTCTTTATATTGGTAACTGGTAATGATATAGATTACCTGTTTTCGCTGCACATGATTGGCTGACTTGAGTTGCTCGACTTAAATGGTGTTATTGTCGCTATTAATGTTTACGATATAAAGCCATAGTTCATTTTGAAGCTGCATGTATTTAAGAAATGCACAAACTAAAGCACAAGATACTTCTCTATTGTTAGATTTACAAGTGTCTAGCTGGATCGACTCTAACTCTCTTTAAGCTTTGTGGTAGTGATTGTTTTGTCAAATTCAAGTTTCCAAGGTTAACATTTTGAATAACAATACATGTTTTTTTGTATTCTTGTGTTTGGTAAATAAGGTTTATGGTCATTGCTGTTATTGCATATGGCTGAACATCTGGTAGAAGATAACACAAGCTGCAGAATGAGTTCATCAGCAGAGGTAAGTTACTTTAACTTTTAGGTTGACTATAGATCAAATGAGATTACTGAAACAATGTCATTATGTTAAAAGTTTAGCTGTCCATTTTCCATCATGATATTGGTTGAAAAAAAAAGAATTTAGATTTTGCATGTCCTTAATAATATTTAATTTAAAGGGTTCCTTAAAAAAATGTGTCTGAGCGCCAAGCCCTTTGTATGTATTTTTAGAGAAAAACAAATTCAGTCTGAATCAAACAACCAATCAGCGCGTATTTGTGCAGTAGTTGTATCAAGTTAATGGGTAGTTATATTTTTTCTGCAATCCTGTGTTTATTCAGTGGTGTTTAATTCTACGAGTCAGAATGCCTGTTCAGGTTTCATTAAAAACCTTACTATATTACTTCTGTCACATCCAATTTTGACTCTAGACATTCCTATGTGATTAGAAATTGTGATTTAACATTTTGTATCTTCTAATACACTTTCTATGTCCTTTTTTTGTTTTGCTTTATAGAAAGCGACCAGCAAAAACCCAGTGAGACCTCATGATGAACGTAAGGAGAGTATCATTGGAGAACAGCTGGAACAACATCAGTCTACCCACACTGTAGAAAATCCACAATCAGGTGACCAGTGTAAGAAGAGTTTCAGACTATATATCGATCTGGAGGCCCACCGGAGAATCCCCACTGGAGAACATCCTTACTCCTGTGACCTCTGTGAGAAAAAGTTAAAAAATGTTAGCAATTTGAAGGTCCACCAGCGCATCCACACCGGAGAGAGGCCTTACATCTGTGACCAGTGTGAGAAGAGTTTCAGTATCTCAAGCAATTTGAAGGTCCACCAGCGCATCCACACCGGAGAGAGGCCTTACATCTGTGACCAGTGTGAGAAGAGTTTCAGTAACTCAAGCAATTTGAAGGTCCACCAGCGCATCCACACCGGAGAGAGGCCTTACATCTGTGACCAGTGTGAGAAGAGTTTCAGTAACTCAAGCCATTTGAAGGTCCACCAGCGCATCCACACTGGAGAAAAGCCTTACATATGTGACCAGTGTGAGAAGGGTTTCAGTAACTCAAGCCATTTGAAGGTCCACCAGCGCATCCACACTGGAGAAAAGCCTTACATATGTGACCAGTGTGAGAAGGGTTTCAGTAACTCAAGCCATTTGAAGGTCCACCAGCGCATCCACACTGGAGAAAAGCCTTACATATGTGACCTCTGTGAGAAAAAGTTTCAAAATGTTAGCTATTTGAAGATCCACCAGCGTACCCACACTGGAGAAAAGCCTTACATCTGTGACCAGTGTGAGAAGGGTTTTAGGCAAAAAAGACATTTGAAGGTCCACCAGCGTATCCACACTGGAGAAAAGCCTTGCATCTGTGACCAGTGTGACAAGGGTTTTAGGCAAATAAGCCATTTGAAGGTCCACCAGCGTATCCACACTGGAGAAAAGCCTTACATCTGTGACCAGTGTGACAAGAGATTCAGTAACTCAAGCAATTTGAAGGACCACCAGCGTATCCACATCGGAGAGAAGCCTTACACCTGTGACCAGTGTGAGAAGAGTTTCAGAGAATCAGAACACTTATTGACCAGTGTATCGCACATTGGCGTAAAACCTTCACCAGTGCATTGAGACTTTAGAAACAGTGATGTGGACTTTTTGACACAGCTTGCTGTTAAAAGATGTTGTTTAGATTTTAAGAGTTGTCATGAAGTGTTCTCAATAAAATTCATATGCATGCACTTAAGTTGTCAAATTGTATTTTCTTCAGCAGGAAAAATGCACAAACAAACACAGCTCCCTAAAGAGCAAAAAGGTTTTCAAACAGAAAGACTCGTTATCACTGTGCTACATTGCTAATTTACCAAAATGATAAAGCATAACACTGCTGAGCGTGTGTAGAGAACCTTCAGCCTCATATGATGCTAGTTATAGAAGTGCTTTGAGACATAAATACAATATGTTGCTGACTGATTTATGAATGAATGATACTATTTTAAGACATCTTACAAGGTGTTGCACAGGGGTTTAGCCTTGGTCCATTGATGTTTATATTAGACATGAATTACATCATTATTTTTAAAGCAGCCCTATAAAAAGAATTTTTAGATTAATATTTGTATGTTGTGCCTCTACTGTGACATGTTTACATGCTTTAATGTTCAAAAAGGTCTTTATTTTTCTCATACTGCCTGTACCGCAGCACCTCTTTTCACCCTCTGTCTGAAACCAGAGCCCTGTCTGCTCTGTATATTGGATTTATTCTGCATGATATTGACTAAGTGGTGCCTCTGCGGCAATTCGATTTTTGAGTTTGTTTTTAATTTATTTGTTTGTAGTTTAGCTGTTACAAATATAAATATATATAATTATTATTAAATCAATCACATTGGCCATTTTTGCGAAATATTCTTTAATTTTTATGAACACCCCCAGTGTAGTTCTGAAAATACAGGTGTAGATTTCTTTCAAAATAAATCCACTGGCTGGTGGTCCTCTCTATGAAGCAAAATGTCACCAAATGCAATGACACACGTTTATAGTGTGGGACTATGACAATTCTAGAAAGTTCAACAGACTAATGCAAAAAGGCTTGTATTTACTGTACAGCAGTAGTCAAGCATATACACTTTGTAGGATTTATTCATTTTAAAATGTTGAGAGTGAACAATTAAACAATCTTTAAAAACAATCAATAGTGTTGGAGAATCACCTCATATCAATGATTTGTCTACTGTAAGAGCCATCATGAGCCAACAATGAGCCAACAATTACAGAGAAAAGATGAAGCGCATTTTTGTGACTGAGTCAAATACAATATGGGAGTGACTCACAGGAAGATGTGTTTACAGCTGGACCCAAAACTGTAGATGTTGAAATAGCTGCCCATTGGTAAACTCTTCAGCAGGAGCAGCAGAGTATCCTGAAGACAGGAAGAGAGAATATATGAAGACTACTGGATAACTAAAATCCTAAAAGCAACAACAGAATATGAAGGCACTTGTTCAATTATTTTTACACATTTAAGAATTTTCATTTAGATAGCTGTGGATGAATAGGATAATGACATTTGCAATAGCAATGGAACACCGTCACTAAAGTGTACTCACCAGGCTTGGCGGAGGTCTGTCCTGCCTCCATCACAGCTGTGGGCTGGTGGGCATCTTTGTAATAAATCAGAAGTTCAACATCTCTGTCAAACTTGTGTCCTGCAGCCAGCTTGACTTGCAGTTCACAAAACAAACAAATAAATATAATATATCAAGAGATACTTGTTTATAGTTGTGATAAAGAAGCACACAGCCGACTTCAGCACTCTACCCACCGTGGCCTGGCTCTGCTCTGTGTTCAGATACTCCAGAGGATCCAGGGGACAGTTGGACTCTACTTTAGAGACAGGACGAGGAGAGGACACTAGGGCAGAGAGAGAAAGACAGACTGTAGGGCACCAGAGAGGCAGGAACAGAGGTCACCTGGACACCTTCACTACCTGTAAGCAACCGGAGACACGTTATGAATATCAGAGGCAGTACAGACTAAAACCTAATTCTTACACAGGTAAAAATTATTAAACACAGTTATTATCAAAGGCATATCAACAGCTGTGGATGAAGGACTGATATTTTTCTTGCAATGTAAAAATACTCTAAGCAGTGTTGTAAATTAACTTTTACTCAAGTACTGTATAGACAGTTACTTTCACTTCATAGGTAATTTGTGTCCTTTTACTGAAATACATTTTTTAGTATCTTTAGTTACTTTGCAGATTTGGATGAATAATGTGAAATATAATAAACTCTTAACACTTTAGTAACACCTGGAGTAAATTCACAAACTACCCTGCAGTATACAAAGTCATTATCTGCACCTTTACCAGCTGTGATGAACACGTTAACGCAACAATAATTATAATCAAATCATATAATATATTTTTCTGAAATGGGCCAATGTACTTTATGAATACTTTTACTTTTTGTAGTTTAAGTATATTTTGATGCCAATACTTTTGCACTTTTACTTGCATGTGTAGTCTGAGAGGCATTTCCTTGCATCGCACCTGCAAAGAAAATGCGTGTGAATCATGAAAAGTGAAAATGAAGGTATACTTAAGGACATTTTGGGAATTAATAGAAAAGTTAATCAAGAAGATAAATCAGATGAAATGGTAGACTTGAGATTTCTGTCAGAAATGCCACCTCTGGCTGGGAGAAATACGGTTATGTGTACGTGCTTATTGTGATGAAACAGGGTCATGAGGATGTAGTGTCTACAGTAAAACCAGCATGAGAAAGTAGAACACAGAACAACATGTTACCACAAGTGTAACAGGAAACAAGCACCTGCAGCTGACTTCCAGTGAATCTGGAGGTGTAGCAGAATAGTTCCCACACAGGAATGTCCCTCAATGACTACACTAATGGTGTTACATGCTTTGCACACTGTCTAAAAATCAACTCTTGGGTGCGGTCAAGCTTCTAACTGACTTTCTGAATTGCTCATAAGATAAAATCAAACCAACTGAAAGACCATGGTTTGCAGACGTGTTGCAAACATATTGTGGTCAGAGCAGTAAATCTTTCTTGTTGGCCTGTTTGTATCATAAACAGAATATTTGTGTAATGTTTATTTATTAGCCCGGAAAGACAATAATCTCTTATTTTGTTTCTTTTTTGCAACATTCAACCCCACTAACTGAAGTTCAACACTGTCCCTATACCGTTGGCTAGCAACTGATGCCCCTCTTTGCATTGCCATAAGAAATGTGGGTAACCAGGGAGCGAGGAAGGGGTTGTAGTGTTTGCAGTTGTTTTTTTTTGTTTTGTGAGGAAAAGAGAGAGTGATAGATGGAGGGCAGGGGGGTTGGGGAAGGCCTTAGTTGAACACCCTGGCTGGTAATATATGCAGCCCTATTGTGGTGATTCAATGCACCGTGCAATAATGGGGAGTAAGGAGGGGCACAAGGCGGTAGGGGAGCTATGACGAGATGTCTTCTGCCTCATGGTGTGCCCCAATATTCTGAAAACACACTGAAGACCAGTTCACATAAACCAAGCTCTTGTCCCAGTTAAAAAGAGCTTCTCCCATTCGTACCTTGTTTTTTTTTTGGTGTTACTGAGGATCTGGCAAAAGACAAGAGCCCAAGGAAAGACACATTTGAAGACTGGCTTATTTTGCTGCACTGACAAGAATGCGGTGATACTTCAGTTTCCTCTGCTGACAGGTCGCAACCTGTCTACGCTGTTTACAAAGTCTACGCTGTCATATTCACGTACATGTGTGGTGTACCTCTGTAGATTCAGGACTGTGACGTCTCAGCTAATGCACCATTATCTCAAAAAGAGAAAAAGGTTTACCATCATGAAGTGAGGTGAGAACATTTTCATTTTCAACATAAGCTAAAGTTTGTCATTGCCTGCTAAAATGCAAACCTAAAGTTAAATCAAAATGTATTAGGTGTTGAACTTATTGAACTTTGACAAAGGAAAGTTGATGTGAAGTCAAGCTTTTGTTAACTTAATACCTAACTTGCTTTAGTTTGTTGATGTGCAAATGTATCAGAAGAGGAGAAGTAACTTAAAGTGAATCACAGTACAGTGATACACATACAAGTAATACATTTGTATATAATTTTAATAATCCATGTACTGGTGTCAGATATGTATTACTCCTGCAGAATGAGTGAAAGGAGCATTATTTGTGCTCTCAATGTAAACAGACAACGCCAATCAATTGAAGCTGCTCTGCTGAATGCAGGTTGGCAGAGTAGAGGGAGCAGTTGTTTACAGGCCTCCTGCTTTGTTTCGTTCTACCCCTTGTTAAAGCACAGACTATGAGAACAAAACCAAAGTATTGTATCTGAATAAAGATGACAAAGAACAATAGTAGCCTCTGTAAAGACAAGGCTGAGAAAAATGTAAGGGGTGGGGTTTTTTGGTGGGGGGAGGGTGGGTTAAGGAGTTTGGAGATGACAGAAAAGGACACCAACTGACCAAATTAGAACAAATCACTACTAAACAATAGGCTTTGGGTCAATGCATATTCCCCCGTTTAGCAAGCGGAAAACACTTTTTCCATGACTAAATCCTGACTCATTAAAGAACTAATTCCTTAATGATGGTTTAGTTCAACTAAAAGTGTTTCAATGTTTGATCACACAACATTTGTTACATGCTTTTTTAACAGCCACAGCTTAAAATATCAATTGTTATCCAGTTGGTGGAGACTAAAATTGAGGTAAGAGGAGAGTTATCATGTGACTTTATCAGGCGTGCAATGACACAACTCCAAATGATGTTGCTCCGCATCTGCTGTATGGGAAAATGTCTGCTGTTTGCCGGCATATAAAATGTGTCATATTTATACGATTTGTAGGATATTGGCTAATTCTAATCCAATTTATAAGCTTGTCTATCTGCCATGAATGCTGGAAATTGGACACAAAACTGTATTGCATATTTTTCATTCAGGTAGGATGTGAAGCACTCACCCCATCTCCAGGACATGATGTCACAGGACAGAAGAAGAATTTGGGAAGGGAGTGGAAAGCAGATGCAGTTGTTTATTCTCGCCTACCTTCTCCTCCTGGCCTTACCATGCATGGGCTTCCTCCCCAACTTTTGGTCCAGAGTGTTAACATTGTCATGGGACTCGCACACACACCAGTACATCACTGAGCAGGCTATTCTCAATGTCACCCTGGAGACCCTGAGGAGCACCAAAACATCTCAGGGGAACAATGAAGAGGAACAGGTGAGCTGATCTCAGGGTTTTTATTTTACATTCAGTATAAAACTGTATTAAATAACTACTTTTTCTATTACGCAAAGGGGTTGATAAAGGGATGTTGAATGAATGCTTGATTATTGTTTTCTTCTGTGTTCATATGACATTACATTCAATTTAGCAGAAGCTTTTATCCAAAGTGACTCACATACACTACAATTTCTTAGACATGCCTACAGGAGCAGTTTGGGGTCAAGTGTCTTGCCTAAGGACACTTTGACATATGAACTGAAAGGGCTGGCGATGAACCATCAAACCTCTGATTATTAGACACTAAAGTTGAACCTGTGAACCGCAGCTGACATTGAACACATGACTGCATCTTATTCTAAATGATAAATATCAGCCTGTATTTATTTTAGACCAGACTGGGCCGTGGCTTCTGGAGAGCTGTGGGAGAGGTGGTGAAGTCCAATGCGGCCATGGACTTCCTGAGCAGCACCAGGTCCGACCCGGTGTACCACTTTGATTCGGAGCAAGTGGACAGCGCCATGGGGATGTTACGGCAGTTCTGGGCTCAGACTCTGCTCTCAGTACGGGCCAAAGAGTACCAAAGTGCTCGTCACAGCTTGGGACAGCTGTTTCACTCGTTGCAGGTACACAGCTGCACTGTAAAGAAACATCAGGAGGATTTGAGGAAGAGAGGAGAGGAAGTTGATAGCATGCTTCCACATTTGAACCTCTTGGCTTATTGTTGGACAGAACTCTAATTCACACCACATGTTATATCAACCTTAATGGACAAATTAGCAAGTACCTGCAAAAATTCAAAATTGTGCAAAACATCAGCTCAAATTAAGCCAGATGTGCTTTAAAGATTAAGAGTCAACTTCTTTAAAATATTATTTTTGTGTAAAAAAACATTTATTTGTATGTATCCGTAGCTACAGACACTACAATTACCGCCATAAATAAAAATAAATGTGGAGTGGTGATGTCGTGATGATGGTTATTATATAGTGGAGAATTATAACTCTTCATCAAATAATAAAAAGGTAAAAACTAGGGTTGTAAACTCAAACACCTCAATGACGTTCTTCCAAACTGCTTGCATGGCCACTCATTTGTATTTTGCAATGGCTAAATATTCCCTCCCATAACGACCAAAGCAAAGTGTGCTGAAAATAAAAAACCTCAAGTAGTGCTTTGTGTTTCAATCTTCTGCTTTACCAGGATTTCTACAGTCACAGCAACTGGGTTGAGATGGGCCAGCGCTCCATTTACCTCCACCTGCTGCAGCCAGAGGAGCCTGCCGTGCCTGTGGCTGAAGGTAATACTTCATATCTGCCTTGACATGTGCTTTTTACTCTGGAGTTATTCACACATTGTTCATTGCAATATATCTTGATTATCAAAATCAACAAAGGTGATGGCCTTCACTACAGCATTGTTGTATTTATCCTCTGGATTCCTATTAGTCAGTCAGCCTTTGTCACTATTCATTTTCTGGCAGCACACACTCAAGTGCAGACACACAGCTCAGTCAGGTTGACTTAGAGCTAAGATAACTAGACGAAAGGTCAGTGGTTTGTCAATGGAAAGTAAGTTAGAACAGGCAGCAATCTGACTGGTTCTACAACCAAACCAAAATGTAGACATGCTTGCCCCTTTAAACAATATAAAATATGATTGTACTATTTCTACACTGTTCAATGTTAAAGACCATGAAAAGGTTTGCTGGAACGTGCCTAATGGACAGAGATGGGAAAACACTGAAAGCAACTATTTGAAAAGTGAAGCATGACAAACAGATTATCATTACTTTGTCTGCAAAAATGCTCATATTCTCGTGTTCCAGCTCCTCAAATGTGACAATTTGTATCTAGAAAACAAATCGCCAGATTGATAGAAAATAAAAATGATCTTTAGTTGCAGCCTAAATGTTGAGTTATATCCCACATTGATGGTCATCATGACTATATACAGTTGTATGGACACATAACATGTGATATAATTACAATTTATGTCATGGTATTCAAATAAATTCAGTGATGAATACGTTAAAAATCAATTTCATCCAATGTAATTATTTAAATGTAGGAAGTTACTTTACTTTTAATAATTGTTCAGACTAGTGAGAGCTGGCTGATGCAAACTGTGCCCAAACAATGAACATGACTAACCCTTCTTCCTCTCTGTCTACAGAAGACACTCCTACCTGCATGGAGTGCTTCAGCGCCACCTGTCGAGACAACCTCCAGCCAGGACTGACAAACACATAGCGAGAAACCCAGCTGCTCACCACTGGCTACTTCAGCACTTTCCCTCCAAAACCATACGGTACATCAGAGAAAAACTTTATTAGTGCAGTCCAAAAAAGCAAAATGTAAAATAAAAAGTATAACAACAACAACCACATGCTTTCTTTTACTTTCCTTCTTAACCTCGCTCGATAAAGCTTTGACTATTTCTTTCAGGCAAATGCAGTCATGGAGGTATTCTGGACAGTAGCCGCTATATGGGGGCCAAAGGGGGCATCAACAAGGACAGCACCTCCCCTGTCTTCTCCCCTCACCATTATCTCCATATGGAGGCTGCCAATTTGGCTATGGAGGCCACCCTGAGTGTACTGAGAGACCTCGGAGACGCTGTGGGCCCTGAAACGTTCCTCAGGTAGGCTTTGAAAACTGTTTATGGGTAGTTCTTGTATTTCCCATAGTGAAAACACAATAGGGTCCCCTTATGTGGTTAGTAGAGTATTCAACTTTGGATTGTCGTCTTATAAACTTCCTTTCCAGGCTCTTTAGTGTGAAGCAGATCCCTGCGTTGGTGTTTGTCATGGACACCACAGGCAGCATGTTTGAGGAGATCACTGCCGCTCGCTTCAGGGCTCACTCCATCATCGAGAGCCGAGCCAGCAACCCTGGGCTGCCTGGCACCTATGTACTAGTGCCTTTCCATGACCCAGGTGAGAGAAAACTGCTTATGTTTTAACAATTATGTTTAACAATAATTCAAAAGCTACTGTGATACTTATACCTGAATAAAGAGGAAATTCAAAATAGGTGGATGCTTTTAATGACCTTCTTAGAACCACAAAGGAATGCATGCATCGTACACAAAAATGTAAATCACTGCTTAACACAATCTATTAAGATATAAACACCTTTCCACCAAATGAGTTCACAAGAAAGAAAAGGTATTCTCCACTTCAATATCTACAAGCTTTGTCCACCTCAAAATAAGTCAAATTATACATCACAAAATGTCCAGAAAACCTAAAATGGGAGTTTATGTTCTCTCTTCAAAATGCAAACAGCAATCAGGAAAAGCAATGCGTTGCAAAAAAAAAGAAAAAAAAGAATCAAACCTACAGGATGTGAATAGTAGTGATGGCAGTTTGACACTGAAGCTTCGAACGGAGCTTCAACCCTGGACTTCCTATTCCATAGAAGCAGTGGCCGTTTCTCAATCGCGAGGATGCTGACTTGGTAGCACAGCCGAGCCGAGCATCTTGCTTCAGAAGCAAGTCAAGAATACTTCCTGCCATTCGGAAAACGAAGAGTGGAACAGGCTAGCAAGTGTGCAGGTGTGCGTCATATGAGAGGCCGCGCCTTACATCTTCCGCCACAGATTTGGGGAAATTGGTCCATGCACAAAGCATTGTGGGGATTTTAAGGACGCGAAGTCTACCCATGTGCAGCCTCGAAATTTCCCCCAAACCAAGGATGCGGCCTCGGTGGAATTCCAAGTATGCTGGAGATTGGAACAGTCCTTCGGCAGCACTCGATGACGTAGCATCCTTGAAATATTGGCTTGGAAGTCAATATCCTCGCGATTGAGAAACGGCCAGTGATTCGAAGCTTGCTTCAAATCACGTGACATGTGACGTCCGAACCAGCAACTGCTTCATTTCCTAAATGAATCACTTGACTGGTTCGCGGTCCAATCACGCGATTCAATGCACTGCCTCGTCTCTATAGAGTGGCGAAGTCCCTCCCCTTCCGGTGGACCTCCATGGGACCTTATTTCGGAAAAATTATGTATTGAAGTCAATGGAGAGAGAAAGATTATCTTTCGATCCCGTTTGAATTGTGCCACGAATTACACATATGATGTTTGTCAATTTAAAAGATAATTTTGCAAGTAAAAAAAAAAAAAATGTGTCGTAAAACTGTGAAGTAACACATTTGTTTGTGTGAAACGCTAAATGAACTACATCTCTGGTCTCACAGAACAACACACGTCACCAAGATGGCCGTCACTACTGTCTTGTCAACAAAACGATTGACTCCCCTCACTATCACCACAATGAAACACGTCCTGAAGAAAGTCATGCAAAGCTGCCTGCCTGCCTTCCTTTGATTCTCTCTGAACTGCCTGGTCTTTGTAATGTTTAATGTCAACCATTTGTGCAGATAGCATGAAGTAGAGAAGATCGCTAGCGTTAGCGTTAGCATTTCTCCCCCGGGCTTAAATTGTGTATTATAGAATGATCACACCGGTGTGACAGTACTCTTCAAAGGGTTCACGAAATATGACTACTACTCTTACTGTTTAACATTTTGGGTTACTTAATGTTACTTCATGTTAAGGCTAATACAAATGACAAGGCTGTAATGCTAACTAACGTGCTAGCTACTAGCTAGCTTGATCCAGACACTCCTGGTCCTTTCATCAGACGGGAAGCGAAAGAACGAGCAAGACCCATTGCTGGTATGATAACAACCTGGTACTAAGCACATCGGCATCTTGTTAAAGTTATCTTATCTTAGCCAGCGCCATATAGATAGATTCTATCTATATGGCACTGATCTTAGCTATCTCTTAGTGGAGGAAAACAATTGTGACATCACTTACGCGACTCTGGGATTTGTAGTCTTTCTAGTTGTGTATTTTTCATAGTCTTATATTTCAACAGTTTTACGACAAACTGTGACTTTTTTGACATGGAAATTATATTTTAAGATTGACAAACATCATATGTGTAATTCATGGCACAATTTAAACAGGACCGAAAGATAAGTTTTCTCTCTCCATTGACTTCAATACATAATTTTTCCGAAATAAGGTCCCATGGGGCGGAAGTAGATGGGCGTGACTTCGCCACTCTATTCTGACAGGTTGAAACAGTTTCGAATTTGAGCGCTTCAACACTTTATAACCGCTCTAAACAATGTGCAATGTGTGGGTTGTTGTCGTAGTTTGCGTTGTTGCTGTTGAGTTGTTGTTGGTATTGCATTTGAATTGGATCATTATAGAGCAAGCCAGGAAGAAAGATAGGTCGTTCTGGCTCGGGAAACACTTTGAAATGTGGAGAAGGTGTGAACAAAAAGACAATGAGTAATATAGAAACAGCACAATAGTTTAAAGAATAGATAGCCTAGTGGATAGAGCCAGCGGCACTAATGCGGTGATTCCCTCCGTGCAGCTGGTTCTAAGCCTGGAACGGATTAACTTTTAATCATTGCTTTTCAACTTTAATACTTTAATAACTGATAAAAGGCCCTCTCCGCCCAACATTTTTTCCAGCACTCTCTAGTCTCTTCTCAATAACCCAATACACACAATTATCAATCTTTAATTGCAAATAGAACATGGTATTCAGTCTTAGTGTGTGTGTGCATCGAATATTTTTCAAGGCAAAGATACGTTAAACCCACTGCAGCCTTGCACTTCGCCAGGAGAGGTCGCTGTAACTGAAGCTTCGAGAAATGAACCTATTTCCGACACAATTGTCCAAGTGGTTCGATGCTTCATTCAAAGCTTCATTTTGCCATCACTAGTGAATAGTATTCCGGTCTTGGCTTGATTTCCTCCTCTGTTCAATGGTAATGGTCCTTAAGTCACACTGATTTCCTTGTTCACTTTAAATAGATAATATCAACTATTAAAAAGAGCTGAATAATTTCCCCCCTCTCAATTGGAGGCTGCACGGCTCCTCCATTACTCCTCCATGTGTCTCCACAAACATTTCCTCTCTCTCCTCTAGCCCAAACAGTTCTCTTTAGGGGTGGGCGGATCGATCCCAAAATATCGATACTTCCGATATTACGTTACGTTTAAAAGTATCGATACTAGAGCCAATAGGATCGATACTTTTATACTTTTTTCCCCCTCTCCTCTACTCGTCAATTTCATCAAAAACTATGTGCAGACGAACACAAGTATATACGCTCTTTTCTTCTCTCTCCACTGCTGTCCTCCTCTCCCGAGGCTCGCGCACGTGCAGCGCGCTCCTTGCCTGAACGCCGATTATCAAGCTGACTGACAGCAGCCAGCGACTCGCGAGTGCGACACACGCGCATGATGGCTGAGAGAAAGAGGAGCGTTGTGTGGAGCTATTTCACAACTGTCAATGAAAACTTAGCGAACTTTGATGTGTGCAAGAAGGTAGTTCGCTAATGTGGCCACTTTGTATTGTTATTTTTCATGTTTGCACTTTAAATTTGCAAAAGTAAAACGTTTATTTGTCTATAAAAACGGTCCTGTCTTTAATCATGAAAATGAATTCAGATTTAGTCTAGTTATGATGCTTTCAGCTCAAAAATCATGTCATGCAGCTCTCCCCTACATGAAAGTACATGAAGCTTTTCATTAAAAAAGGTATCGGTATCGGTATCGGCGATACTGGCCCTGAAATACTTGGTATCGGATCGAATCCAGATTTGTGGTATCGCCCACCCCTACTTCTCTTCCCTTGTCCCCCAGGCCACGCCCCCTTACACCTGTGATCCTTAGGGAAGCAGATCACCTGACCAGGGGTAGATTTGTGACTAAATGCATGGCAAACAAGTTAAAGTATGGTTAGAATGGATTTGGTGTAACCTTGGAAGAGTTTTAAGTATATAAACATTTCCCAAATCTCACCTTCGTGGCAGTTAGACAGGATTATGTACTGCTTCTGCATCTCTGGAAAGAGAGACTAAATCTTTACATTTCCTCTAAGGTTATCTTTATATTACCTTTTATTTAAAACCCTTCTTTTGAGTTGCCATCATGTTATGAAATATAAAAGATAAATGCATTTTTCATCATTATTCTCGTCGTCACTGAAATATTTGAATGAGTATGGAGTGATTATTGTGGGGATCTATACTATGGTTAATTAGGATTATTGCATCATTATGAACATTTCAGCAGGCCATATTGCAATTTGGATGCAATTTAAAATTATTTTTGCAGCTCTACTTTGTACTAAGGGAAACGGCTAGTGACTATAGCTATTTATTTACCATATAAACAGCTGTGTCAATCAAGAGTTAGTGAATTCATGTTTGAACTTTAAATGGGATGTAGTAAGGCCCTCCGAACTTTGGTCTTGCTAAATAAGTTCAATACGATGGAAGATCTGCTGTTGTTGCTTGCCATCTGACACGTCTATCTCCTGTACTCTGCAGAGGTTGGACCCGTGTTTGAGACCGATGATCCAAACCAGTTCATCCAGCAGATGGATAACCTGATGGCGCTGGGAGGAGGAGACGAGCCAGAAATGTGTCTCTCTGCCATTCAGGTAAATTAAAATGCTGTTTCTTCTGTAACAGTGTTCAGGTGTTTGAACACATTATACAGTATTACAATTGAAATCATGTGTAGCTGCTAATTTTCCATTATTGTGTGTGTTTTCAGCTGGCCCTCACTCACAGTCCTCCACTGTCAGAGATCTTTGTATTCACTGATGCGTCCCCTAAAGACGCCCACCTGTTTGATGCTGTGAAGGCTCTGGCACTTGAGAAACAGAGCAAGGTACGATTTTATATTTTAAAGCATTCTTCTATAAAAAAAACTTCATTATCTCCGGTGTTGCACAAATGCACTTGGAACTTATGAGAAAATGTTCTGATCTGAAAAGCCTACATCTAAATAAAATGCATTATAATGTTACAGCTCACAACAAATTAAATGCTTCTGATGACATTACCAATTCATTAATTAATAATTAATGACAGGGCCACTCATTCATGAAGAAGTTATCTATGTTTGCAGATACTTACTTACAATAGTTAGTAAGTGTAAAAGGATTATGTAAATTGCATTTTAGGATCTTTTTGTTCCTGTAACAAACTTTATAAGCACACCCTGTTGTACTTATTGAGTACAGAAATGGAGACATTTTATCCTGTTATTTCCAGCTCAAACATTGGTCACATTTGAGGCGGATTTTTCCACAGGTGACGTTTCTTCTTACTGAAGACCTCAAATATACAACAGAGAGCAGAGGCAGGAGGAAGAGGAGGAGGAGGAGGAAGAGGGAACCTTTGTCTCCTGACCGTTTCTCTCTTTACTCCGCCCTGTCCTCCCTGTCAGGAGGTCTGACAATATTCACCACCAACTCTGACATCCGCAGGGTCTCGGCCATAGTGGAGGATAACACAGCCACTGACAAGGTGCAGCAGCCAGACCCTCTGCTGGGGATCAACCTCTACACCAGGGGTTTTCAAAGTGTGGGAAGGTGAGCCTCCCCTCAGAGAACATATGAACAGCCGCGCCCCCCCTCCCAATTATTATTGCTATTATTATTATTATTATTATTATTATTATTATTGTTGTTATTACATTGCATTTCAAAGAGGTCCAGTAAGAGAACATGTCATTAAATGCTCTGTTTTCGCTGTCTACCTTCCGCCATTTGAAATTATTCCGACTGTTTCTCTCCTCTTGTCTCGTCTCTGTGAGTGTTTGAATCTATTGTGCTGACTCACTGACTGCACCGATTTGATTGGCTGAGTAGCGTCACCTCCTTAAAACATTAAACAATCACTTTTTAAAACCTTTTTATCTTTATGTTTTAAACATATTGTATAAAACTCCTCCACTACTTGGACTATTCCTTGCACCCCTCTAGAATAAGCCCGAATGGTCTCAACCATATTGCATCAGTAATAACGTGCACTTGTTGACTTGTTATAACAAGATCGCAAGGACACTGGTAGCGATCGTACAATTGAGTGTTGTTCAGTTTGTGTGTTGTGGAACATGCGTGTCCGTGCATGAAAATATACCACACACCCAATTACAATAGCATGTTCAATTCACTACCCTGGAAGTTAATAAAGTTGTTAAAGTTGGAACAGCCTGTGGACAGCCGTTCTTCCTTGCATGTCAGTCGCCGACACCTTCTTACAGAGGACAGGCACATCTAGCTGCAGCACGACCCGTATATTTTCGCACGCCGTGTTCTCAACACACATTTTTAACATTTTCAACATCCTTATATGCTCCCGGCAACACACTGAACGTCAACTTTATCTCCTTATTACACTCACCCCTACTTTAGTGGGAACAATGAGTCTGCGTCTTTGATGCACACAGGAATAAACGCAGATCATCCTCTGGCTGCAGCCTTGACCGGCACTTCCTTTGATCAGAGTCAATGCGGAAAACCCGCACTCACACAGGTAGGTGGAGGTGAAGGGAGTGAGCACTTTAACAGCCTTTTTGGCGAGGTGGGGGAACTCGGTCTCCACAGACAGGCAAAAGTGTGCAAATGTCACTTTACTCGTCTTTTTCTCGTTATTATTTTTTCTCACGCTGCGCCTCCCCTGAAGCTCTCTGGCGCCCCCCAGGGGAGGCGCGCCTCACACTTTGAAAACCGCTGCTCTACACTGTTTAACCAAATCAAATGATTTTTAAAGGCAAAGAAGGCATAAGTGATTACCCACGTGTATGGATTTTGATCACTTGCAAATCCTCATTACTGATTGCTTATATCTACTGGTCATGAATAGCAATGTTTTGTGTTTTTTATTTCAATAATATTGAAGAAGTAAAGAGGCAAAATAAACTGTCAAACAAACCACAAAGCCACTGAGACAAGCTTAGAGGAAAGTCTGGACAAATATTGATTGTTATGGTCTTAGTAACTGAGCTATATCATGAATGCCTGTTTCATTCAGCTCTGAATATCTTCAACCACATTTAGGAAATAGCATCCAATATAGGCTAAGCATGTGAAAAACAAACAGCTTTAAACATGCATTAAATCTCTTCATTTTTTAGAGGTTGTGGAAACAAGCTGTAAGTTGATATATTAGCACATTATAAAGTTGCCTATTTACATATGCAATAACATTATAATTAATTTAATGTGTCCTTACATGTGAAGAATGAAAGCTCTCTTAATGATTTCAAGCCCTTTCTGGAAAACAAATATTATACTCCTGAGCACATTTTTCTTCCTCCTCCCCAGGTGACCCTCCTCCATGTGGAAAGCGACCAGGATTTGATGTCTTCCCATTCCTTCAGAGTTGACAGCTCAGTAAAAAGCGTCACATTGCACATCACTGGCATCCTGACAGAGTGCATCCTGACCAGTCCGTCAGGTAACTGTGCAGCAAAGATATTAGTTTTATAAGCTGTTGGTGGAAGTGCAATCCAGCTGTGAAATACACTTTAACTTCCTCATAGAAATCTTAAAATACCACTACTTCTTGATAATAAAATAATCCCAGATGTTCATCTTCCTCTCCAATGTTAGACCAAAGTCAGTCTCTGCTGAGCGGGGACGGCCCCCTGGCAGCTTTAGACCACTTTGAGGGTCTGTACCGCATCAGCCTGCTCTCTCCCATACAGCCAGGCCAGTGGAAGCTCCAAGCCAAGAGCGACGGACACCTCACCTTCAATGTGATAGGTAAAGGAAATGTTGGACACATAAGATATGAACTAACTGCACTTGAACTGATAAAAGACACAAATATTTGCCTCTTGATCTGCACCAGGTGAAAGCAGTGTGGATTTCCTGTATTACTTTGCCACCGTAACCAATGAGACACACCCAGGGTTAGAAAGAGTGGAGGGAAGTCCAGTAGCAGGTGAGAGATTGGGATTTGTGTCTTATACATTTAGAAAAAGCCTTGCATCTGTGACCAGTGTGACAAGGGTTTTAGGCAAATAAGCCATTTGAAGGTCCACCAGCGTATCCACACTGGAGAAAAGCCTTACATCTGTGACCAGTGTGACAAGAGATTCAGTAACTCAAGCAATTTGAAGGACCACCAGCGTATCCACATCGGAGAGAAGCCTTACACCTGTGACCAGTGTGAGAAGAGTTTCAGAGAATCAGAACACTTATTGACCAGTGTATCGCACATTGGCGTAAAACCTTCACCAGTGCATTGAGACTTTAGAAACAGTGATGTGGACTTTTTGACACAGCTTGCTGTTAAAAGATGTTGTTTAGATTTTAAGAGTTGTCATGAAGTGTTCTCAATAAAATTCATATGCATGCACTTAAGTTGTCAAATTGTATTTTCTTCAGCAGGAAAAATGCACAAACAAACACAGCTCCCTAAAGAGCAAAAAGGTTTTCAAACAGAAAGACTCGTTATCACTGTGCTACATTGCTAATTTACCAAAATGATAAAGCATAACACTGCTGAGCGTGTGTAGAGAACCTTCAGCCTCATATGATGCTAGTTATAGAAGTGCTTTGAGACATAAATACAATATGTTGCTGACTGATTTATGAATGAATGATACTATTTTAAGACATCTTACAAGGTGTTGCACAGGGGTTTAGCCTTGGTCCATTGATGTTTATATTAGACATGAATTACATCATTATTTTTAAAGCAGCCCTATAAAAAGAATTTTTAGGTTAATATTTGTATGTTGTGCCTCTACTGTGACATGTTTACATGCTTTAATGTTCAAAAAGGTCTTTATTTTTCTCATACTGCCTGTACCGCAGCACCTCTTTTCACCCTCTGTCTGAAACCAGAGCCCTGTCTGCTCTGTATATTGGATTTATTCTGCATGATATTGACTAAGTGGTGCCTCTGCGGCAATTCGATTTTTGAGTTTGTTTTTAATTTATTTGTTTGTAGTTTAGCTGTTACAAATATAAATATATATAATTATTATTAAATCAATCACATTGGCCATTTTTGCAAAATATTCTTTAATTTTTATGAACACCCCCAGTGTAGTTCTGAAAATACAGGTGTAGATTTCTTTCAAAATAAATCCACTGGCTGGTGGTCCTCTCTATGAAGCAAAATGTCACCAAATGCAATGACACACGTTTATAGTGTGGGACTATGACAATTCTAGAAAGTTCAACAGACTAATGCAAAAAGGCTTGTATTTACTGTACAGCAGTAGTCAAGCATATACACTTTGTAGGATTTATTCATTTTAAAATGTTGAGAGTGAACAATTAAACAATCTTTAAAAACAATCAATAGTGTTGGAGAATCACCTCATATCAATGATTTGTCTACTGTAAGAGCCATCATGAGCCAACAATGAGCCAACAATTACAGAGAAAAGATGAAGCGCATTTTTGTGACTGAGTCAAATACAATATGGGAGTGACTCACAGGAAGATGTGTTTACAGTTGGACCCAAAACTGTAGATGTTGAAATAGCTGCCCATTGGTAAACTCTTCAGCAGGAGCAGCAGAGTATCCTGAAGACAGGAAGAGAGAATATATGAAGACTACTGGATAACTAAAATCCTAAAAGCAACAACAGAATATGAAGGCACTTGTTCAATTATTTTTACACATTTAAGAATTTTCATTTAGATAGCTGTGGATGAATAGGATAATGACATTTGCAATAGCAATGGAACACCGTCACTAAAGTGTACTCACCAGGCTTGGCGGAGGTCTGTCCTGCCTCCATCACAGCTGTGGGCTGGTGGGCATCTTTGTAATAAATCAGAAGTTCAACATCTCTGTCAAACTTGTGTCCTGCAGCCAGCTTGACTTGCAGTTCACAAAACAAACAAATAAATATAATATATCAAGAGATACTTGTTTATAGTTGTGATAAAGAAGCACACAGCCGACTTCAGCACTCTACCCACCGTGGCCTGGCTCTGCTCTGTGTTCAGATACTCCAGAGGATCCAGGGGACAGTTGGACTCTACTTTAGAGACAGGACGAGGAGAGGACACTAGGGCAGAGAGAGAAAGACAGACTGTAGGGCACCAGAGAGGCAGGAACAGAGGTCACCTGGACACCTTCACTACCTGTAAGCAACCGGAGACACGTTATGAATATCAGAGGCAGTACAGACTAAAACCTAATTCTTACACAGGTAAAAATTATTAAACACAGTTATTATCAAAGGCATATCAACAGCTGTGGATGAAGGACTGATATTTTTCTTGCAGTGTAAAAATACTCTAAGCAGTGTTGTAAATGAACTTTTACTCAAGTACTGTATAGACAGTTACTTTCACTTCATAGGTAATTTGTGTCCTTTTACTGAAATACATTTTTTAGTATCTTTAGTTACTTTGCAGATTTGGATGAATAATGTGAAATATAATAAACTCTTAACACTTTAGTAACACCTGGAGTAAATTCACAAACTACCCTGCAGTATACAAAGTCATTATCTGCACCTTTACCAGCTGTGATGAACACGTTAACGCAACAATAATTATAATCAAATCATATAATATATTTTTCTGAAATGGGCCAATGTACTTTATGAATACTTTTACTTTTTGTAGTTTAAGTATATTTTGATGCCAATACTTTTGCACTTTTACTTGCATGTGTAGTCTGAGAGGCATTTCCTTGCATCGCACCTGCAAAGAAAATGCGTGTGAATCATGAAAAGTGAAAATGAAGGTATACTTAAGGACATTTTTGGGAATTAATAGAAAAGTTAATCAAGAAGATAAATCAGATGAAACGGTAGACTTGAGATTTCTGTCAGAAATGCCACCTCTGGCTGGGAGAAATACGGTTATGTGTACGTGCTTATTGTGATGAAACAGGGTCATGAGGATGTAGTGTCTACAGTAAAACCAGCATGAGAAAGTAGAACACAGCACAACATGTTACCACAAGTGTAACAGGAAACAAGCACCTGCAGCTGACTTCCAGTGAATCTGGAGGTGTAGCAGAATAGTTCCCACACAGGAATGTCCCTCAATGACTACACTAATGGTGTTACATGCTTTGCACACTGTCTAAAAATCAACTCTTGGGTGCGGTCAAGCTTCTAACTGACTTTCTGAATTGCTCATAAGATAAAATCAAACCAACTGAAAGACCATGGTTTGCAGACGTGTTGCAAACATATTGTGGTCAGAGCAGTAAATCTTTCTTGTTGGCCTGTTTGTATCATAAACAGAATATTTGTGTAATGTTTATTTATTAGCCCGGAAAGACAATAATCTCTTATTTTGTTTCTTTTTTGCAACATTCAACCCCACTAACTGAAGTTCAACACTGTCCCTATACCGTTGGCTAGCAACTGATGCCCCTCTTTGCATTGCCATAAGAAATGTGGGTAACCAGGGAGCGAGGAAGGGGTTGTAGTGTTTGCAGTTGTTTTTTTTTGTTTTGTGAGGAAAAGAGAGAGTGATAGATGGAGGGCAGGGGGGTTGGGGAAGGCCTTAGTTGAACACCCTGGCTGGTAATATATGCAGCCCTATTGTGGTGATTCAATGCACCGTGCAATAATGGGGAGTAAGGAGGGGCACAAGGCGGTAGGGGAGCTATGACGAGATGTCTTCTGCCTCATGGTGTGCCCCAATATTCTGAAAACACACTGAAGTCCAGTTCACATAAACCAAGCTCTTGTCCCAGTTAAAAAGAGCTTCTCCCATTCGTACCTTGTTTTTTTTTTGGTGTTACTGAGGATCTGGCAAAAGACAAGAGCCCAAGGAAAGACACATTTGAAGACTGGCTTATTTTGCTGCACTGACAAGAATGCGGTGATACTTCAGTTTCCTCTGCTGACAGGTTGCGGGCAAAGTCTACGCTGTCATATTCACGTACATGTGTGGTGTACCTCTGTAGATTCAGGACTGTGACGTCTCAGCTAATGCACCATTATCTCAAAAAGAGAAAAAGGTTTACCATCATGAAGTGAGGTGAGAACATTTTCATTTTCAACATAAGCTAAAGTTTGTCATTGCCTGCTAAAATGCAAACCTAAAGTTAAATCAAAATGTATTAGGTGTTGAACTTATTGAACTTTGACAAAGGAAAGTTGATGTGAAGTCAAGCTTTTGTTAATACCTAACTTGCTTTAGTTTGTTGATGTGCAAATGTATCAGCAGAGGAGAAGTAACTTAAAGTGAATCACAGTACAGTGATACACATACAAGTAATACATTTGTATATAATTTTAATAATCCATGTACTGGTGTCAGATATGTATTAATCCTGCAGAATGAGTGAAAGGAGCATTATTTGTGCTCTCAATGTAAACAGACAACGCCAATCAATTGAAGCTGCTCTGCTGAATGCAGGTTGGCAGAGTAGAGGGAGCAGTTGTTTACAGGCCTCCTGCTTTGTTTCGTTCTACCCCTTGTTAAAGCACAGACTATGAGAACAAAACCAAAGTATTGTATCTGAATAAAGATGACAAAGAACAATAGTAGCCTCTGTAAAGACAAGGCTGAGAAAAATGTAAGGGGTGGGGTTTTTTGGCGGGGGGAGGGTGGGTTAAGGAGTTTGGAGATGACAGAAAAGGACACCAACTGACCAAATTAGAACAAATCACTACTAAACAATAGGCTTTGGGTCAATGCATATTCCCCCGTTTAGCAAGCGGAAAACACTTTTTCCATGACTAAATCCTGACTCATTAAAGAACTAATTCCTTAATGATGGTTTAGTTCAACTAAAAGTGTTTCAATGTTTGATCACACAACATTTGTTACATGCTTTTTTAACAGCCACAGCTTAAAATATCAATTGTTATCCAGTTGGTGGAGACTAAAATTGAGGTAAGAGGAGAGTTATCATGTGACTTTATCAGGCGTGCAATGACACAACTCCAAATGATGTTGCTCCGCATCTGCTGTATGGGAAAATGTCTGCTGTTTGCCGGCATATAAAATGTGTCATATTTATACGATTTGTAGGATATTGGCTAATTCTAATCCAATTTATAAGCTTGTCTATCTGCCATGAATGCTGGAAATTGGACACAAAACTGTATTGCATATTTTTCATTCAGGTAGGATGTGAAGCACTCACCCCATCTCCAGGACATGATGTCACAGGACAGAAGA